TCAACATGGTCTTGGCTTTTATCCCTCAGGACGACCCAGTGTTGAATGAAGTAAAGAAAGGGTTTAATGAGGTGAACCGGAAGCTGGACTCTCTCTCCGTCAAAATCTCCAACCTAGCAACAGATGTAGAATGGTTCAACTATGTGAGCGTCTACTCTAGAGATGAAGCCACTATTCTCAATGCCTGGAAGAGGTTTAATGACCTTCACCTTCACAGTAATCTGGTGAAACGTGCAAAAGATGGACTCACATTGTCTGAGAAATTCATCAGATACTATGAAAACTCAGGAGTCGAGTCCAGCGTTTCCAATTTCTATCGGTACCTTACAGGAACCAGCATTTCTCTGCATGGGAACCTCATCAATCTGCTGAAGAAGAAGCTTAAATGTGACATTAATAAGATGGGCAGATATAACTCTTACCTCAGCAGTTTGCTGTGGAAGGGGATGGTGCTCAACCAGTTCTACTGGAAAATGGCTGGTGTTAACATGAAAGGCAAAGAAGATCAACCTGCACAGCTACTGAAGAAGGTTTCTGAAGCTCAGTTAGCAGAAGTGGAGTTCTGCCTTCAAAACTATGAGGATTACTTAAAGAAGGATGTGGTTGAGATTGTCAAAGATCTAAGCCCAGACAACAAAAAGGCCATTGCTGATCAGGTGAAGGAAGCTCTGGACAACAAGTACAGCTGGTACTGCTGGGTGGTGTTGGTGATAGGGAAGGAGAAGAATCACCTACTTCATACTGAGTTTACTTTCAACATCAACGGTCTTCTTGTGGGTGTAGATTACACTGTGAAGGCAAACATGATAAATGTTAAACAAGTAAAAGACACAGCCAAGGAATGTTTTGAATACCAGGATTGTAATACTGTGAAAGAACCACAGAGTTGCAGTCGTCGATGGTATCCAAGGGATCATAGTGATGAGATTTTCATTCCTTTTGAACACTATGCCAAAGTTACACAGGTTACCTATGGAGATCAGTATGTAGAGGTTCCAACACCTTTTCAACGATTAAAGTGTAAATGGTGGTGGTGGAATGGCTTGGGTTGGTCCAAATATGACAGTTGGATTTCTGTTCATTACTCGAGAAATGAATCTGTCTGCAAAAGCCATCAATGTAAGAACAATGGGACATGCAGGAGGCTGCTTAGGTCCAACGAGTGGCTGTGTGACTGTCTGGACGGTTACTATGGAGACACGTGTGAAAAGAAGTTGGACATGACAGTGACAAAGGAGATTGGGACTTTCACTATACCGACACTAGTTGGTATAGTGGCAGAGGAGCAGACGACGACAAAGCTCTATATACTTATCATTTGTGTTGTCATTTGTTTGGTTGCTTTGGTGCTGATAATGTTTAGGAAACACTTTCCTTTATGTTGTCGACAAAACTCCTGTTTGGAGTTAAAGCAGCTGGTGGACAGTAGGGTTCAGAATACGGCAGCAAACTGTGATATGAGGTATCCTAAAAAAGTTAGAGAGCTATTCTATTAGAACATCGATATTTATGCAAAACTTGCAATAGAGACAACTAGTGCTTTCACCTAAACATCTGCAATAGCTCCATAATCTCCTCTATTTAATCATCTTTAAAATAACATTTTTCATTACTGTTATTGTCATAAGTTTGCATGTTTTCAGAAGTTTCTGTTTCTTTCTTTAAAAAAAGTTTGCTGTGTTGAAGGAGATTGACGGAGATGAGAATTAATTCCCTTCTGCTGTAAAAGAATATGGAATACAGTCAGCCTGTGATGATGGTTATTAGAGTGTTATGAACATTTAGAAAGCTTGGATTTCTCATTTCAGAATTTGTAAAAGTAAAATTATTAAAGTAAAATTTAATTGTGATGCAGATGGAGACAGAAGCACAAATGCAGAATAAACACAGAGTAAAATAAAGTCTGTATCCTTTTTAAAGGTGAAAAATAATGTAACGGTTTTATGACAGTGGTTTTCAAACTGACTCCTGTAGAGTAGCACTAACCTAACATTTTTTTACTCATTTGAAGAAAAAAACTAGTAAAAATTATTTGGTAGAAAATCTACTTTAGTACTGAGTTATTGTTTTATTAAAACATTAGATTTAATATTAAGAAATTATAATGGGAAACAGACTTTGTGTACAAATTCTTACATTTTAAAGACTTAAATGCCTAAAGAATAAAAATAAATGTCATGAATATAAAAGAACAAATTTGTTTCGTCTTGGCTATTGAGCCGCTAGCCATAGCTATAAGGAATAATCATTCAATTCAGGGCATTATAAGATGCAGCACTGAACATAAATTAGCTCTCTACGCTGATGATCTGTTGCTTTTTGTGTCTAAGGCCGAGACAACT